TTTTTTTTTGTCCGGGAACCCCCCTATTTGTGGGGTTTCTGTTGGGGGGCTGACTGCCCTCCTATTCCCAAGCATTTCCCATTAGAATATTGACAGCACACTAATTCAAGTTTTTCCATATATAAATTGCATAGATTTGGTAATTACCATAGAATTAGGATTTTATTTTATTGTACAGCAAATAAATTCCCTCATTGTAACACACTATAAATTATATCAATACATATCGGGCAAGATCATTCAGCAAAATTGACAATATAAACATAGCTAAACCTCAGATGGAATAGATGAATGCAAGAACCAAATATTTCTAAGATGGAATGCTTTTCACACTAGTTTTCTTTTCCCGTGTCACAACAAAAAATTATTATTGCTTCTGTTCATCATCTGTATCAATAGAACATCTCAGTTCATCAAGTCAAGAATGGAAGAAAAGAAAGAAGGGAGAGAGAGAGGAAGGTAGCAATTTGATGGTGGAAGAAGCAATTATGGTTGGTCGGTAAGTGGGAGCATTGGAAGGAATATTTGGTAAGATGAGGAGAACCAGAAGTAATCACGATTAACAAGCAAGAGTATGAAAGTAAGTCGTTTCTGCCAGTGTTGATTTTGAAAGATAGAAGTGGGAATTTATCATTTGTTCCATCAACAAATAAGAACTGGCAGAGTATTAATTTCCAAACCAGTGCCCTTGCACTTTCACATAACCTCAAGAAGGTAAGTATCATTTTCCTATAGTTATTTCTGTTGCATGTATATGTGTAGTTTTGATACTGCACCAACAGCGCAACAATAATTTTCTCTATTTATTTCCTTTTTAGTATGTTTCTTTCTTGTTTACTGATTGTGTATCATAGTAGATTATATTGGTGATATCACATTGTTTAAGCCCTATTATCCTTTCATCAAGCGTTTAGTTGTCAAGAGCCAGGATTCTCATCTATAAAGTCCTTCACTTCTAGATAGTTGATGGGGATTCTAAACTAAAAGAAAATAATTTCTTTACTTAAAAGAAGTTGACACAAGAACTTGGACACCTAATGTTGACCAACCTTGACAAAACCATGGGCTCATTCATCTTTCTTGCTCAATATGTCAATTGATCAGATGCTCAAAGATATAGTCATTAGTTTCTGCATAATTTCTTTAGGTACATTAAACCTAAACATACTGTCGTATCAATGTCTGATAACATGCTAAAAAAATGAACTTCGTACTATAACTTAAAACCAAAATGCGTAATATATATCATTCAATATAGAAATTCAAACTTCAACTTCAGTTACATATATTATGGTATCTTTTGCAACTTCATTAGAAGGTCAAAACCAACCAGCATTCAATAATTAAAACCTTTATGACAAGGAGTTTGGGAGACTTTGTTTTTCTTTTCAAAAATTATTCTAATCCTAGCATGGCTATTAAGCATTCGAAACAAAGGTAGAGAAACAAAAGTATAATGGATGATTCACTTTATTGGCATCTAGTCCTCTGTAAAGCAATTGTTCCCGGTGTCCATTTTCCACAAATATCAATTAAGGACAATAGAAACTCATTATTTTTACTTGGCAAGCACTTCTGTCTCTTCAGTTCATAAATTTGAAAATAAATGGGCTATTTACGCAACCCATATGAGAAATAAGAGTAAATTCTGAAGTATAGCATCAACAAACATATTACCTAAGAATAAGACTCAAATTAGTTCTGATCTCAGAGCAGCAGTTCTCAAAAAATGTAAATCTTGAAATGCATTAATGCATATTTTTACAGCACTTGTGTTGAAAACGAATTTAGATCCATAGATGATCCAATTGAAAAGGAAAAATACTATTGAAACTTCCATTAACAAAACAGAAATCATAATATGATCACATGCACCCTATGACAGATAATCCTAAAAAGAGTGTGCATATATTTTCAAATCAAGTTAAATCCATTTGAAATAGAAGAAGAGCACAGATCTGAAAGGGAAAATTTTCCTCTAACCTTTCAGAGTGACTGTATATCTGCAAAAGCTCTTCAACGGATGACCTTGAACCTCTCACAACATTGATTGCTCCAGTAGCCATAATTCCTGATGACAGATTCACACATTACAGAAGTTGTTCTGAATTAAAAAATGTATGATTTACACAAATTCAACATTCAAATTCCAGTTTCTAAAGGAAACAGAAAATAAAATCCAAGCTTCAAAAGTATTTCCAAAGGAGCATCTCAAATATCAAAAGAATTTTCCCACATTTGATTAAAGTTACTAATAGCAGTGTAATAACTACGGAGAGCGAACCCACAATCAATCTTTGCCATTTGAGCTCAGAACCACTGACTATTCCTTAGTCTTGAGCAATCTTATTTGCTAACTAGCAAGTCGACAAGAATCCTATATCAACACATTTTTCGAGATGGAAAGATGAACAATGAAAATAATGTGGCCGAACCTGAGTGAGTGAAATGTGTGGATGCAGACCAAAAAAAGATAAAAATAGATAAAAGCAGGATATGATTTGCAATCAACTGGATGCACTTTATTTTATGCAATTTGTAGAATTAATTGAGTCTATTTAGAGTAATTGAGGTGAGAACATAAAAATGGAAAACTTAAAACATGACCTCGTATTGTGGTGGAACTAAACATAGTCTCGAAGTTTTTCTGATCTATAGTCAGGCAAAGAAATGCTCTTTCAATGGAATGGAAGTCCAATGTGGAATATTAGAAGAATCATTATATTTTTCATTTTGTCCTGGAGCAATTAGCTGCTCCTTATCTATAATCTTA